TTGAGTGTCAAAATATATTGGCGGTAAATATGTTTTTATCACGCAAAAATTTTAAGCGCTCTCCCTTACGCGCCGTATTTCCGCCGCGAAAACGCGAACGAAATCATTTTCTCGCCGCGCGCGTTTGCACAATATTCTTCCTATAGCGACATACTACATTCAACAACTTTATCGTCTCGTAACATCTATTTCGTCCCTTGTGTTTACACAGTCACTTATTTTAATTAGAAGAGATTCTCGTACTCTCTCGCGCGTTACGAGATTTTCGAAATCGTCGTGAATGTTTGGCGCGCGCTCGCACAGTCACATTGTACGTCCGCAATTAACCGGTCGCGCACAAGTCTTTTTCATATAGTACGGTATCTATCGAGTTTTATCGCGGCGTAGAAATCTGGCTTCGGATTTCGGTCAAGTGTCGGCGAGGATACGCGATTGGCGCGTAAGAATATAAATTTTGTTCAATCTTTTTTTTTTTTTGTTGCGCAACTCTCAGACTTAGACTTTCTTTGTTGTTAAAAAAAACTTTGACACGTCCGGCTATTCATTGTAAATTTTAATCGATGAATAGTAACACGACGGTATTATCGATCGTAAATTAAAGTGAAAAAAAAATACATAAAAATCACAAAACAGATTTGAATCAACCACGGATATTCGGGTTTATAACAATCGCCGCCGATGCAAGCGATTGAGTGATTGTTGTCGTATAGGAGACCTCCTACGTGAAATCGTATAAATGCCAGAGAAACACAACTGTATTTTATGTATGTAACGCTGGTATATACATAACTTTATTGTCCACTTGAGAATAAAGTCGGAAGTCGGTTTGAGAGACGCGTGGGTCCGCGTCTCGGTTTAGCCGATCCAAAGTATATGCGAGCGAAATCTTATCCCAGTTGGGATAAGAGTTCGCAAGCGTCTCTCTCTTGCTCGAGAGAGAGAGAGAGAGAGAGAGAGAGAGAGAGAGAGAGAGAGAGAGAGAGATGCCATCGAGATTTCGAGTGACACTTAAAAATCGAAGCCATCATCGGATTACAGTGGACGAGAAAACGAGGAGATGAAGTGTGAATACACAACGCGCATCATTAGACATTTGGTCACGGTGAGGTGTTTGACATTCGATGTGGCCTGAACAAGCTCCGTGAGATCCGCCGATATGTGGATAAGACACGATCAATCCGATCGATTTGTCAAGTTAGCTTTCATCTCGCCTTAAGTCCTATTTTCTTAATCCCGTGCGGCGAAATCCAGGCGCATTGATACAATCATCGGTCGACAGATTTTTATGATTCGACGGAGATCATCATAATTCGAGAGACGTGCATATTATTAAAACACTCGCGTAAATTCTTGGCAAAAACAAAATTTACATGTTTTATATGTCGATATTTTTATAATTTACATATCGCGGAAGAAACATTCAGGAACGAGATAATCTATCGAAATTGAGAATGTAATTGTTTTCACGAACAATTTTTACGTAGCGCTCGAAAAAATTCAATAAAAATAAAAATCTAGCAATCTAGTTTTATGCGATAGGACAAATGAAATAACGCCGTCTCATCTGTCGACTTAAGCGGCTACGTGATTGTTTATGAATATTCAACGCGCCGCCATAATTTTGGAAACGCGGAGACATTTCACATGTAGGATTCTTGTTCGAAGGAGGAGAAAGGAGGAGAATAGTGTGTGCTTCTGCCCGCGAGGACCAGCGAGTCTCAACAAAACGTGGGCGAAGTGAGACGCTTTCGGCAACTGTCGGTCCTCAAAAAACTGATTCATCGCGTAGGCTGTTCCGTTCAAAAACAACCAAGCAATTCCGAAGTTGACTTTCCGACTTATAAAACATACCAGTAGGCGAAGTTGGAATTGATCGCGATTAGAAAGAAAGGGACAAGAGGCAATGTGTGTCCCGCCGATATATACACCTCAAGTCTTCTCTACTCGGTTCTGTCTTATCACGGACGAATCAGTCACGTAGGCGATCTTTTCCGGTTGATCACGGTCAATATATTTTTTAGAATATGTTGTAAGATGTGTCTACATGGATTGCTTCTAAATCGTCAATCATGTTCTTTTCAATGAATTATCTGTGGGTTGTCTATTATATTTTTTTTCATGAGAAATAATACGTAAGAAAAAATATAATTACTTGAATATATAAGCAAGAAAAAAATATTTAATTTTAAGATAGAAAGCATTAAGCTTAAAATATTATATCTTTATTATTATATTGTAAAATAGATATTTTATTTTTAAAAAATTGTATATCGAAGATTTTTCATAAATATTCATATTCTCCATTTTAGTTATAAAACTTTTTTGCTTTTATTTATTTATTTTATATATTATTAAGAATGTATATTTCTTATTTTTTATATGTTATTTTATATGTTATATTTTATGTATATATATATATTTATTATCTTGTATGAGGTGAAAATCAGCTTTTGTGCTCCCGTTCAAACACACAGAAAAAAAATGGAGTTGCTTCAATTAAAGTTGACGTCACGGGCATAGTTCATTCAATTGCATATGCGATTAATTTAATGGCTATAGATTCTTAAAGCAACTATCTGCTGTGTAAGTGCAATAATATCTGTGTGTAAGTGCAATAATATTGATGTTGCATCAACAGGATATATTTCAATTAAACTGATGCTGTTCGTTCAATATTCAAACTTGTATGGAAATTTCGACTTTCTCGAAGTCCGATCATCTCGCGATTATTTGCATGATGTATATTCTTCATTTTTCACCTTCGCCGACGAATAATTACATCGTACTGCTCGTCAGAATAAGTTCCCTCGTAATGTTCGACGACACGTACGTATTTACGGGCCTCGTTTACGAGCCGCTTTCAAAGCACTTGAAATGCTTTAGCTTCCGGTGAAAAACTAGTAAGAGGTATACTATTTATATGACCATTAGCGTACAATCTTCATCTACGTTTCTATAAATATACTCTGCAGCACGCTGCAGTGCAGTAGACTCCGTCATCGTTGGCAACTTTCGTAAAATCCTCCTGACAGTAAAACCTGTCTCTCGTCTAGCAACGTCTCTTTTCACCGTATTGTCACGGAAAAGCGTCCATAAATGACTTCAAATTCTGCTAATATGTTTTTAACTTTGTTATTCCACGTCGATCAAGTGATAGCGAAAATATATAAAAGATCAGGACAAAGTTTCACAAAGTACACGATCGTATTCCCTTGTGTATAACTTTGAAAACAAAAAACAAAAAAGAAATAAAATAATATTCTTATCTCTTTATAATATGATTAACTAGTTGTTTATATTTTTCAACATAATTTTGGAATGTATTTCGGGTTTTATTTTGTCACGAAAAACGTGCAAGTCCCGATAAACTTGGCAATAAAGTAGATTGTCTGATAGTAGAGCATTTTATATAAACTGTTACAATTATCTCTCATATACGAATAACTAAAGATGCGGTTGCCCAACCGGTTCCCTTTAACTCGGTTCTTGGACGAAATGTTTCCGAAGACCATTAGTCTTGCGCGTCTGGTTACATTAATGCAAAACTATAAAACAGTTATTTTGGAGCAAATTACTTGGTATCACAAATCCGCGATTTATAATCCGGTTTGTTTCATTATGTGGCATGGGTTCTCCATTATTAATCGCCGCGACACATCTTTGTCGAATTAATATCTTACGTATATCTTATATAGTGATTGTACATTCGTATCTTGTGTACCGTTATTCTGTCACTCTTACCGCTGTTAACACCCACACATCAAAATGCACTTCCTTCTGTTTTTTCACGTATCGAAAATCGCGCGTCTTCCGATTATTTATGTAATTTGTTATTTATTCATTTGCATTAGCATTACATTAACATCTAATAAAACGTTAAAATCATACCTCACATCTTATAAAAGAGAAACAAGCTGTTACATATATTATAAATTTATTCTTCAACGAATGCAAAAACTTGACAGCTTGTTTTGTAATAACAGCTTGAATTGATGTAACGTGTTATTACCCTCCGCATGCAAAATGTTAAAGTGTGCAATACACGCAATTGATTTGTCGTACAAACAAGTTGACCGTAAACCACGCGGAGCAGCCACGGTTCGTTATCAATTGTGCGCAGTGGACCATGCGAGCTGACTTGGGGCACGCGCCTAGCAAGGTTGTATATATCGCCCTACCTCTTCACCTTTGGTCCCCCTTTACCCATTTCTCCGCGTCAAGTCCGGACCACATTACGAGGAAAAGAGAAAGAGAGAGAGAGAAAGATATCGAAAGCGACTCCACTCCCGCTCAGCGCTCGGAGCGGGGCCCAGTCCTCCCACTCGGCGCCCCTACCCTTTTCCGCGGCATTCTCCTTCTTCCCTCTCTCTTGCAAACAGCTCCGCCACTCTAACACGCGAACAGCAGCGATCCCCCTCGCGGCCCGCCTATATTCCCTTGTGCACGGGATGCAACGTCAAACCGATTGCATTTGCAGTCATTCGAGCTCTCTCTTCATACATACATATATATGTGCGTGTCCTTTTCTCTCCTCTCTTGTTTGCACGTTTTCTCTCACTCTGTTTAATTTTCTTCTCATTCCCGTCAGTTTGCGTCTTTCTTCTCTTCTTGTTCCCTTTTTCGCTCATTTTTTCTTCTCTCTCCTTTTCTCTCTCTCTCTCTAAGTTTTCTTTCTTCCTCTTTCAACAACCGTGCGATGCGGCCCACACGCGCGCCCCACACTGTCTCACGCGCGCGAGTCTCGCGCTGCTCAACACACATGGCCGATCGCGGCCGCTCTTACTCACGGAGTGTGCGGTCCTACCTCCTGCAGGGGACCGTGTCACGTGGCCCCCAGGCCGCAGCAACACGCAGCGCGCAGCACGGGCTGTGCTCTCTCGTGAGCCGCGCACACGACACCAGTCAGAGACGAACCGAGAGACCGAACCGACAGATCATACATTCTCTTTCTTAAGAAACGCATGTGGTGCTTTTTTCTTCTCTCTTACTTTTGTGCTCTCTTTACTCTCCGCGCCACTCTCTTCTTTCCTTCTCTCTTTTTCTTTCTTCGCTCGAGTGCGCGCGCGCGCGCGCGATACGATACATCTTGGGCCCTGCGCGCACCCCCGCGTTACTACTACCACCCGAAGTTTCCCCACGTGTTCCCAGTGTTGTGTGTTTACGCGCCGTTACGGAGTTCGCCGTAAGGCCGTGAGGTTGTCCGCAATGGAAAATCAGCTGGTTGGATATTTTTACCGGCTGAGCTGAAGTTTCGTGATACACTGAGGAAAACAAAATAATAATAATAACTCGCAAACTAAAGTGAAAAAGTGCAAATCTTCTATCGTGTTTGATCCCGTACCATGTAGAAATGGGAACGAGCGCTAGTGTGCGTTACTGTGTCGATGTAAAGTGCATCGTTGTTGTAGCATGTGCATTGGGTGTTGTGTGTCAGCGTGTCACCGGCGACATCGTCACCGAGATGCTAAAGCGAAGGCCGCTGAGGTTCTATCGTTAGGACGACGCTTCGACTAGCCTTCACGGATGAAAATGAATGGTGTGCATTCTGCTCCTCTTCCCGAGACCGGGATCGACGCGGGATCGATCTCGCGGAATCGATCTCGGCACGGGATGCCTCTGTGAACGCGTCGCGCTCGAAACGTGTTAAGCTTGCTTTTCAAGTGATGTTTGATGAAGATCAATGATTGTGCCGATGCCGACATTAAGATTCGCCGCGACGTTTTACATTAACGATAGCTGGTCGGTATTACTCGCCGCGTGACATGACAGATTGACGAATGTCATTAATTATGATATGTTACGATTTTGCAATAATTTATTATGAATAAAAAAAAAAAAAAAAAAAACAGCGCCTAGTAGATCGCGGAACAAATCAAACGTGACGTATCTTGACGCGTAGTCTTCTTGAAAAGTGAATTCGCCAAGATCGTAACAACTTTACCGTTTGTGGAAGATGACAACGGTGACAACTTGCCGTCGGGTTTCAGAGTCATGTCAAGTGCGTTAATTGTTTCTAACTAACCAGTGACAACTCTGCTTGAGTCCGAGTGTTTTTTATGGATATCGATCGGCAACAGAATTTTTAATCGTGATAAGTTATTGTCGTGAAAAAAAAACAAGCGCAAAAAAAAAACGTAAATAACAAACCGTAACTCTCCGTCCGAAACGCTTTTATAACCGCACGGCGAACATTTTTACGGCGTTTGGTGCTGGTTGTTGCGCCAAAACATGCTGGCAGTAAAAAACGCGTATTAAAGGCTAGCCTGTGGTGTCCATTTGAAACTCGTTAAAAAGAAACGAAGCGCAAACTCACCCGCGATTATTCTACCTCGACAATCAACACGAACCAGATACAATCCGGAATGCAGAACCCAAGGTGTGCAAAACGCTTAGGTTCCGAATTCACGCGACCACGAAACTCACAACTCGGAATAATAGATCGCGATAATTACATGCTCCAATTCGGAACACGAGGTTTTGCGACAATATATGTTTGTCTTCTCGCTCTCCCTTTCTTTCTTACTCGTGAGACGTCGCGATATTTCTGACTGAAATCATAGTGAACGCAAACTTAATGAAGCGATTTCCATCAGCATCAGTTAAACTTGATAATTAAATCAAGGACTGAACCGCGGCGTCAGACATTAATTGAATCGCGATTCCTCGGATTTAATTTATTTTGTTTCGCAAACACGTCTGGCAGATAGAGCAAAGCTCGTTCAACGCGCTTTATATTTCTAGTTCCTTAAAACAAGAGTTTATATGTAAACATAAAAATTACAACTCTATATTTAGAACAAACTTATTCTGTTATTTTTTAAACATTTTTTAAAACTTCTTTTTTAATTAGATCTTTAGGGGCTCGCTAATATACATACCAATCAGATTTCATCTCTTCGTTATAACGTTATTCGCAACGTAATTCGAAGTGAATTTAATTATCAGCGCGAGCACACCCGATGACATGTCTGATGCTTCGACAACTTTCTTTAAATTGTCATTAGTCGGCAAGCAGTGAGAGAAAGATAAACCTGCGATAACCATCTGAATCCGCGTTATTCAATTTCTAACGTCTTCTTAAGAAGATGCTATCGGTCGTTATCCGAAGCTTATTTCCCTGTTCGATGGTAATAAACTTTCATATACTCTGGCTTGGTCGAGAAATTTCAAGTGCTCGAACGCGAATCGATTAAGCGATTCATTATATTTAATAAGTATGATCGTTAATAGAGATCCGTAAGTTTGCTCAAATGTTCAATCACTCACTTAATAATTATAAAAGAAAAATATTAAAAAAAAACGTATTTTTGTCGTTATGTTTGTAATTTGAGAATATATTGTGACCATTTTTTTAAGAGCACGTTGATTGAATGTTCAAAAAACAGAGTTTTTTTTTCACAAATCAATATACATATTCATATATTATCGTTCTATATAATTTCGCGATTAAAATCTTATTTCATATCGATAATATATCTTTGATAATTCTAATTGTTTATAAGAGGAAACAAGATTTTCTGCGATTTTACTTCGGTGTGTTACGCGAGTCCTGACACTCGTTTATATTCTTATTACGCAAGTTACGCGATCGGGAATTTAAAAAAAAAAAAAAAAAAACTAAAAAGAATGTATCGGTGAACTTTCATATATATAAACTGAACTAAATTCTCATATCAGTAATGTCTTTTAATTAATACGAAACATTACATCGGAAAATTCTCGAGTGTAGTAATCGCCAATTAATGTCCCGTCGTAAAAAGATATTATACACAATATCGATATAAAGTCAACGCGGTCGACGGTTAAAGTCGACCACAAATCTTTCACGATTTGACTTCACCGTTTCGCGTTCACTGCGAGAAAAGAATAAATTTGCACCGAGAGAGGCCGAATTTCGCGCAGGGAGGAGGGGATCGTATGAAAGATCACGAAGATCGGCACGATCAGATAAGAATCGACGGTACTTCGGGGGCTGATGAGTCCGTGACGATGAAAAGAAACTTTGGAAATGCGTGTCGAGGCCGCCGCCGCCGCCGCCGTCTCGTGGGAGGGGCTTGACGACTATTTCTCTCCGATGCAGGGGGTCCGTTCCCTTGATTTCTCTTTCGCAACCCTCTTCATGGGACCTATTGCCACAGTCGCTTGTTTATCAGAAAGCGTATTCGAATCGTCATACAATAAAAACGTCCCGTAAATTAGCGCTCGGTAACGTTGCTTGAAAAAACGTTTTGCAGTTGAAATTAATGCGCGCGAGAGGGACACTAAAGAGATTGAAGATTTAACACTTGCTAACATTTTTAATTTTTTCTTTCTCTTTTATGCATTTCATTCTTCTCTCTCTCCCGTTATATGTAGTTTTTATTTTTGTTTTGCGAACAATACATATTTTTCTTTCAATTGCAGTATTACATAATACACGCAAAGAAAAGATTATTATTATTGTGTGATTTTGTTTTCTTGTTGCTATATTATATAAATTATATTATATTAATATTCGTCTTTCTCTCTCTCTCTCTCTCTCTCTCCTCTAAATATCAAGCACAAAAAAATAAAACAAAAACAATATAGCGCGCGAGGTTAAACGAGGCGTTACCGCAGCAGCAGCAAGGTGCGCTGCTCCTCATCTAGATCTGTCACATTAATTTTGTAACTTGATACGTCATTAAAGTAACAAATTACGTTATTAACCTGACCCACGGTTAATTAGGCGAGATGTTATAAATGGCAGAAAAGCTTTGCGAATTAATCAATGCTCGATCGGGCTTGATCACGAGCGGCGAACGCGGCGTGTAACGCTTCTTCCGTTCTTTCGTTTTCTTCTTCGTTCGTTAATAACTACAAGCGCAATAAGTAGGCTGAAAATGGAGATGAAATAATTTCGTGGAGCGATTCGCGGGAGTGTAACATTAACGAACCGACCGACGGCAACGAGCGCGTTATGATAGTAATTACGCTAATTACACAGTGTATACTACTACGGTTATAGTAAAGATAGCGCGATAAACTTGATTATAATGGCACAATTTTGCCGTCACGGACAAGTTAATTCGACGATGACATTGTAGGGAGAAACGTAAATTAAGCCACGGTCGAATACTTCATCAATATTACTGTGTGATAATTGATCGCAAACAAATCTTATCGTTTGATATTATGACAAATAATAATTAACAGAATTAATTTTTCGTCTTAAAACCAACTGTTTTCTCATTAGAAATGTTTGCTTGTGTTATAAATATCAGTTTTGCGTGTGAATAATGATTTTTTGTTTATCGTAAATTATCCAACTTTTCTAATCGTTCGTTCAAATTAATTTGTTCCCGATATCATAATTAAGAAAAGTTTTTTGTATAATAATCAAATAGTGGAAAAAATAACAATGCGTATACGATGGATTATACGCGTGGGCGCGGTAATTTAGTGCGCGGAGCAATCTTTTAATAATTTCAGCGTTAATTAAATGCGGATGCGTGGGTGCCGGGCCGAACTCGACCGAGGATTCGAATTCAGTTTTGTCAACTTTCACTACGGTTCCACTACGGTCTTAATCGAGAATCTTTATAACTTCTCTGTGTTACGCTAGTCGTTAAACGCGGACGATGCGACGTTCGTCGCGCGCATTCGGTGGCAAATTAAATTTCACCTGAAACATCAGTACCGTGTTAATCGCTTAATAATTTCTCGCACGGTCCGACATCAATTTGTTTATCGGATATTACACCGAGAGAATTTCGTATTTACTCGTGGATCACATCACAGCGGATACAATTCCACGCTTGCTGATCGATCGATAAAGGTAAATCTTTGTGCTTGAAAGGTTTCACTTATCGGAGAAAGAGAGAGAGAGAGAGAGAGAGAAAGAAAGAGAAAGAGACGTATCGGCGACGGGACGGTATTTAAATGGCCAACGGGTGGTCGGGCAAAAATATTCAAAAACTTATTCACCGGAGGTGAAATATTTTTTGTTTCGCTTTCACCTTTCTCGATTTTTCTCAATGAGAAGTTGTGCGGCGGCGGCGAGCGAACGAACGTCTCCCGGCCTCTCACGTTTTCGAAAGTTACGCGACGCTCCCGCCCGCTCGGCTCTTTTCACGTTGCCGGTAATTTTACCGTAATTTACGACGGCAGAATGAATCCTCGCCCACGCGCCGACCACGAGAGAGAACCCGAGGAACGAGTTCGCGGCGCGGCCCTGTTCGCGACTCGATTCTATTAATTCGATACGATTAGGCCATACGACTGCCCACGATTCTTCGCGCTAATTGCCTCGAGGGAGGGTTATCCCGATGAGAAAAGGAACGAGGCTTACCGAGAGGATTAATTAAATTGAATCAAGTTTAATTAGTGCGCTCGTGTCTTCTTGGGGGTGCAAGAAGATACGCCTAGAGCGCGCCAAGATGACAGACGTGATAAAATTTTGACGATGAATTGAATTGTGTGTTTACTGCCACATCATCAGATATTAATTCTTTTATTTATCTCTCGAGTTAAATAAAATAAGTCTTTCATATAAATTTAAATTAGCAATAGACTGTAAATAAAGTTATTTCATTGTAAAAAGTATATAAGAGATCTGATTCTTTCGTGTGTATGTATGTAATATACATATATGTATATATAACGATAGGAAATTAACAATACGATTATTTCACGCGTATGTCAACAATGTTTTAAATTGCTTATTTGCGCTCGTGCTTACTGTGCTTACGAATATACATTTCATACATGATTTATACAGGGTGTTTCAGAACTATGGGATCAAACTTCTAGGGGTTATTCAGTGCAACAGTAGAAAACATTTGAGTATAGGGACCCATGTCCGGAAAAGTGTCACTACCGCACTACGGCCCTAAGACGCGTTAAAATTTAGAAAGAC